CAAAGATGATGACCAGATTTTATCTTCAGCTCCAGTCTACTCATATGCCATCTTTTTCCTGGCTCTTTTTTCTTTTTTTCAATTCTTGTTTTATCCAACGAAATTGAAGGACAAAAGAGCCAAAATTTTCCTGACATCTTCCTAAGCTTAAAGGTTTAATCTTTGCCACAGGAAACTACTTCCTTTTAACTAGATGATGCTACGACCAGCTAGAGGCAGAAGCCAACAGAGATAAAACCTCCCACGAGTTGCTATCTGGTTAGGAGTACATTAGGAGTTGGTAAAATTTTCTGGGGATGAGATGCATCTTCCAGCTGTATGCTGCAACTGCAGGAATAACATTTCTCCAATGAAACAAGGCATCTCTCTCTCTCTCTCTAAATGCTCAGTTTGATGACTTTGTTACGAGTATTCAACTTTCTAAACCACCAATTTAACTATTCAAGTTTGATAACTCTGCAGAATTTGCAATGAATCTGGCACAGAAGGTTAAACATTAACCCAAACCAGCAAGAGGGAGTGGAGTAGAGGCAAACCTCTGGAGGTCGAAGGAACTACAACAACGTGCATAGTTGCATTGTTGGGAGGAAGACCCAGCCGGAGAGGATAAAGTTTCCCGTTTATTTTGTTTTTTGAGCACACTGTAATGTTTGTAAGCTCTGTTTCTTCCTCCAACTTCTGAGTCAATTCCTCCACGTTTTGCCCTTTAAAATTGAAGGAGTGGCCTTCTATCCCATCATCGACATTCCCATCATCATCAGCCACACGATAATGTATTACTCGGCCTTCATACTTCACTGGTGAACCACCAAACGAATCGCATGACTGCGCATGTGTACAAAGAATCCTCCGTTACGATTTACTAATCACATGACATGTAATAAAGAGATCAGAAGTAAACAAGGAGAGGTAAACGATCGAACCTCATGTTGAGATGGGGTTCTAAGCTGAAAGGAAGAAGAGCTCAAGTCTTCGTCCAATGATTCAGATCGTTCGACTTTCTTGGGTGACGGAGGCCGTATCTCAATAGTATCAACTTCCCACAAAATCCAATCTTGATGTATATGTGGGATGTCATGAGTGACTGAATTTCGCCAGGGTGGTAATCCCCCATTCGCACGTAAATAATTCCCATATCTTGTTTTGAGCCTTACTTGAAATCCTTCCCTAATAGGCTCCCATTCAACCTTCGAGTCCAATTTTCTGGGCAAACTTTGAATAACTTTTTGGCCCGTCATGCCAAGAAGGAATTGATCATCTATTGCTGTTAGGTACTTGCCATAACAACTTTTCAAACGTACGACATTGTCAACTCCCTCAACAAGCTCGACTGTCCATTTTGCGTGCTTGGATGTGCCAGAACGATCTTGGATCACAGTTTCCTCATCGCGTTCCGCTAACAAATACTTCTGGTGATGGCTCCTCAGCCTAACAGATTTAGCTTTCCTGAAGAATTCCATTCCGGGACTCTGCAATCAATAAAAATGAAAGGATATGACTACAATTAGCGTTACAGAAACAAACTACGAGATGATCTCCTGATCTGGAGCGGCACCTGGACCAAGGAAACTATAGATTGTCGTGATCCAGAGTCTGGCAGAGATCTGTACGTAGGATCTGTTTAACTATTCCAAATAGACAAATCAGCATATGGATTTGGCGTTGATCACCTTTTCGGGCTTGAAATGTGGATCAATGGTTAAGATTATATTGTCGGAGGTCGTTATCAGTTGGCTTGATACTTTTTCCAGAACTGAGTTTCAGACTCAGTCGGTGGCAGGGATGGCCCAAGACTCCCACTTGAGTGGCCATACAAAAAGGAATGCTAGTCGTGTATTTGACCAAAATATTACTATATACATCCGGTTGCGTATTTAGGCAAACCAACCGAGCATTTCTTCTTTTTAGTCTTTTCCAACATTGCTTAGCGTTCCCGTAAAAACCACCCCCGCAAGAAACCAAAACACCATACCCCTCTCCCTTCCCAAAAAATCGTGACCCAAGTGACTACCATCATTTACCCGTATAACTAGATGCAGATTGACTATATTTGGTCTTTGTTTGGCCAATAAGTTTTTTTGGGTGTTTATTTAAAATTTTATTGTAATTTACTGTATAAGTTATAGAAAAATTTTTGAATTGTGTAAATTTTTGGATATTTTAAAGTGTATAGTTTAAAAATTTTGAAAAGTTTTTAAAGGTTAATATAGTTAAAGTTATTAAAAAACTTATAGCAGATAAATTTAGCAAAAAACTTGCTTGCCAAACAGGCCCTTTGGTTACAAAATAAATCTTTGAATGGTCGAAGAAATCGAAGTTGGAATAAATATTGGCCTATTTGACAAACAAATTTTTTGCCAAGTGAAATTTTAGATAAATATACAAAAAATTCACTTAGCCAACAAGGCCAACACGAATATAAACATTTAAAAGTAATCACCTATAAAAAGATTTAAAATCAAGTCCTACAATTTTTGTTGTCTCTAGATTGATCATTACACCAACCTCATATGGATCAATATTTCAATATATTCATAATTGTTTCATTATGAGTTGCAGTTATTCTAAGAAAAAATTTGGCTTATTTTACATTTAAGAAAAATCTTTTAAAACATTCCTCAAATTTTGCTAAATAAATTATTTCGCCTTTTACTTTTGATCATTTTTTAGGTATAAAAAGGTCATATCTTATTTGTTTAGAGGCCAAAAAAATTGGATCAGATTTTATTTTTTAGGAAAAAGAATTTAGAGTAAATGTGGGTCTAATTTGTTTTGGGGGTAGGATTTCACTTTTTAGAGGCAAAAAATAAGTATGAATCGAGTTATTTATTTAATTACAAATAATATTTAATCTTTTTGCCTCTAAAAAATAATCACGTGCGAGTCAAGTGATGAGTTTAGAGTATAAATTAGTCAGAAGCCTAGTTTGGGGCAAAATTTTATTAATTTAAATTTATAAGAGACATAAAATTAATATTTAAAAAATAAAGGACATTTGAAGAATTTTCCCTTACACCTAATATCAGTCATCACGCAGAATTTGGTTCACATGGATTATGAAACACATTTCGCGAGGACAACTGTAAACTTGCGCCTTGCTGAGGGCCTTTTCTGTATCTAGTCACGGGCCTCACGGCCCTCACCGATGGCATCTTTCTCTTAAATGGGTGATTCTATTACACAGAATATACAGTTTGTTGAATTTTAAAGTCGAAAGAAAACAGTCCAAATTTGTTTCTAAATAGAGTGAAGCCCATTGATGTTCCTATTAATTGCCCAAATAAGCCCAAATCAAAATGGGTCGAAAGTTGAGAGAGCATGCATCCCCCCTTACCTTAGTTAAGAAACACACACACACCGGATATAAACTAAACCCACGACCCAACCCAAAAGAGCATGCATGGTTCATCAAAATAGATGTGTGGTTCTTTAAATAAATTTTTCCCCCCTGTTTTTTAGCAAATTATTCCCCATTTTTTTCATGAGCAAATTTTTTTTTTTTTTTTTTTAAGTATGAGTGAAAGATTTAGAATTTCAGACCTCTCAATTACACTAATTTCTTTCTGTGCCATCCAACTCATCTTTTCCCCCATTAGCAACTTGCTTACTGTTTAGTACGGGGGAAAAACAAAAGCATCACTGAAGCAATTTTGTGCTGTGACGCCAATTATTTGAGTCACCAAATTTGAACTTCATTTTTGGTATTTCATCTAAATTTGACCATGTTTCATTTATAAAACAATGGACAGTCGGTTCTCCATGGTAGGTAAAAGTCTCGAGAGCAGATCCTCTGTCCAATATTTTGTGTCCAATTTCCTGTCCAATGTGAAACTACGTAGTTTCACTTATTATATCTGTTGATGTGACAACTAAAAATAGGTGGCTATTTGGCTGCCTTATACTTTTTTTTTCTTTCTTCTTTTTGGGTTTCCTTTGTTTACACAACTTTTGTTATAATTCTCATCTTTTTTAAAACAAAGTATTAAGGATTTCAAATACAAAAGAATATTTAAAAAAGATGGGAATTGTAACAAAGTTGTGTAAACAAAGGAAATCCAAAAAAAAAAAATAAAAAGAAGTATAAGGCAGCCAAACAACCATCTATTTTTAGTTGCCACATCAGTAGATATAATAAGTGAAACTACGTAGTTTCACATTGGACAGGAAATTGGACACAAAATATTGGACAGAGGATCTGCTCTCAAAAGTCTCATGCTTATCTTGTGAATCCGGTAGTTTATCTAAATTTGGGACTTTTTTGTAGTATTTAGCCACTAATTTGTCAAAAAACAAAAAATTATGACATAGCAACCTACACATAGGAGTGCGGTATTTTCTTTAAAGAAGACAAAGTAAGGTCTTTATTCATAAGAAGAAGGGAATTATTAGGACTAGAGTAATTTTGTATAAAGGCTATAACTAGTAGAAGTGGGGGCAATTTTGAAAAGTTAGTAATTTGTAACGGTCGAATATAAATTTTGTCAAACAGAAGGGAGCAAAGTACTCAAAATTAATGGTTTTGGGCTTGCGGAGGGTTACTAAACTCTTCAAATATGTAAATCTGCTCATCCGGCTCTTAAGATAAAAATTAAAACTTAACAGTATACAAATATGCCAATTGACTCAATTCAGCACCTTTCAGGCTGAATCTGCTCAATCTTAGTCATTGCTAGCAACAATGGCTTAAAGGATCAGATTGGTACGTCAAACAATGGCTTAAAGGATCAACTAACTAAAGGAAACAAAAATGCCTGGGACTGTTGAATTGATAAGGAAATGAAAGCAAATGAGGAGAGCATACCGGTTTTACAGACGCATTTCCATTCTCTGCTTGCTTGATGAAGGCGCTTCCATTCATCCTGGATAAGTAGGCCATTGGTGAATCCCTGTCAGGCGAAGGCGAATAACCATCTTGGAGTGAAGAAAAGGTTGATGAAGCTGATAAACTACTGAGAGCGACTCTGTATCCGACAAAATAATGTCCACAATATCCACACCCCACAAAACCCAATCTTGAGTAGCTGTTCTATGAGGAATGTCGTGAGTAACAGAGTTTCTCCAGGGCGGGGACCTCCATTCCCCCTCAAGAATTTCCCTTCACTAGTTCTCAGTTTCACGTATAATCCTTCCTTTATAGGCTCCCATTCGATAGAGGAGTTCATTTTCTTAGCTGGAAGAGTTTGACGTACCTTTCTCCCAGTCGCACCAAGGAGGAATGCCACTTCTGTGCCGTAAGGTACAGACCGTGGCAGCTCTTTAGCCGAATTACATTGCTTTTTCCTTCCACATATTCGACCGTCCAACGCGCCTTGCTTGAAGAGCCATTTCGGCTTTGCCTGACTGTTTCTTCATCATCATCCGCCACCAAGTACTTTCCAAGATGGCTCTGAAGTCTGACCGCTTTAGCCTTGTCAAAGAACCCCATTCCGCCCTACTTCACAAAAAGTATGGTTTTACAGTCGGCCAGCAGCAGTTTGAGTTCGCATTTAGAAGTCACGAAAATGAGAGCGAAGAGATTCCAATGAATTTTGGCAATGTTTTGTCAGCTAAAAATTGCTATCTCAAAGTGCCCAGATGGAATTTATTTGTTTAATTGGGAACAAGGCCCTTAAGTAACATATTGATGTACAGCGCAATCCAACATACAGATCTGCACACTCATTTACTGATAATAGATACACAAACTCGTAGTATGTAAACTGTAACAACTAACAAGGTGCATTCTTCAGTGTACAATCAATTTTAACTATAGTTAATTTTTTTTAAAGTCGCCTGAAACGGAAGGTAATGTTTTCGTACTGGAAAGGAGTGTGGGAGTACCTGTCTGCAGCTTGCGAATCCAGAAGTATTTGATGCAACTGATGGCCAATGGGTGTCGGAGGAGATTGCCGCTTGATAATTTGGAGAGACTGCAGCACTGGAGGGCACTGAAGGAGTGAATGAATCGGAAAATTCATCCGGTGACCAAGCAAAACTGGATAAAGGCGATAATTCGCAACTCTGTAAATGCTCAAACTCCACAATAGAGATGTCCACCACATCCACTTCCCACAAAACCCAGTCTTGTGTTGCAGTTCTATGGGGGATGTCATGAGTTATGGTGTTCCTGAAAGGAGGTGCTGCACCATTTGCCCTCAAGAACTTCCCTGATTTTGTTCTTAGCTTTACTTTATACCCTTCTTTTATGGGCTCCCACTCGATACAAGGATCTTTCTTCGACTCCGGAATTCCTTGTATCACCTTTTTACCTGTCACCCCAAGAAGTAAAGGCTCGTCAGAAGCTGTCAGGTATCCCCCAAAGCAGCTCTGTAGTCGAATGAGGTGAGGATTTCCTTCCACTAATTCGACCGCCCAGCGAGCCTTTTTCGAGGAGCCATTGCGGCTCTGCCGGACAGTTTGTTCGTCATCATCCGCCAACAGGTACTTGTCCAAGTGACTCTTAAGTCTAACAGCTTTGGCTTTGTTGAAAAACTCCATTATAGGTGTCAGATTCTGAAAAATGAGGTTTGTAACTTGCTCGTTAGATTTTCTTTTTTTCAATTTGGCAATTTGGCCTTGTTAAATTTAAAAGGGCTGGCGCAACAAGTCAACCACATGAACGGGGTTGACTTAGAAGCTTCTGTGAAGCCAATCAGTAGTTGCTTACAAAATATTGAAGTTGACCATTACTATTGACTTTGAATTAGCAAGTTGGCACAAACAATTCATATTATTTCTAGGTGGCATCACTTTCCATATACTTCCGTGGCACGGCTAGGCTGGCGAGTTGACGAGGGTTGGTCATTGAATTGAAATCTGATTGAAAGTATTTATGCTTTCATTTTTTTGCTGTTCCAAAATATTTATCATGTGTGATGTTTCTAACTATTTTATACTCTAAAATTTTTCTTATGCCCTTCATTAATGATGCATAAAAACAATTAGACAAATATGATGGAATTGGTTTCTAATTCTTACTTTGATCAGTACATGATTATGGGCAAAAGTGAAATAAAGGAAAAAAAATTTTGGTGGAATGTACTATGTATAAACATCACATATTTCCGAGCATGACTAAATATATGGGACGGAGGGAATGGTACTGGAAGACCAGATCGACTTGATGGAAGTGAATAGTAATCGTTATCGTTTCGTAACGTGGAGATGGAGTGCATTTTTTTGGGTTATTACATCAACAAAATGAACAGAAAAGATCCGAGTCGGTGAGAATGATCTCCATTCCCAACTTCGTAGCTCTCCTCAATTGCAGTTGGATTTGCATGGCGTTTTGAGGTTGCAGAAAATCTTGGATCAATGAAAGAGACGTCGTTCAAAGATGTGAAGCATCGCCAATTTTGAATTTTGGGACATGGGGCGCACAGAATCGGTAAATAAAATGGTGCTAGTGGATTGCATTCTCCTGTGATTTGACGGAGTCTACGCTCTCCAAAATGTCCAATTCCCATAGAATTTTGTCTTCCGTATGTGTTCTACAGGGTACGTCATGTCCAACCCTGTTTCTATAAGGCGGCAAACCTCCATAGGGACGCAAGAATTGTCCATAATGTGTTTTGAATCTCAACTCAGATCCCTGTCTTTCGACCTGCCATTCAATTGCGGAAGTCAATCGCGTCGGGAGAGTCTGAAGAACCTTGTGCCCCTTCGTCCTGGGAACAATGGGCTCATTTGTGGCAGTCAGGTATTTCCGTAGCAGCTTTTGAGGCGAACACCATCATTGCCATCAACAAACTCAACCGTCCAACGTGCCTGCTTCATCGAACCGTCGCGGTCTTGGCGCACGGATTCTTCATCGTCGCCAGCTATTAGATACTTCCCTTTGTGCGTTCGAAGACGGATGATTTTCGCCCCTGCTAAAAGCTCCATTGCTAAGCCTATGCCTGCGATTCGATTAAAAAGGATCTTCTGCAACACAAAATTCTGGTTATCGTTTAAAGACGTGTGAAAACCAAATCCCTATCGGCTAGACAAATATCATCAGTCAAGAAGAATGTATCAATTTCTATGCGGGCGGGGATTGATGATATTGCAATGGTGGATGATTGCAAGAAAAGCCTACTACGATGCGCATATATTTGCAAATACATGAAACATGATGAGGAGGAGAGAGTTGCGAAAAGCAGGGGTTGTCATCTCATCCGGTGGAAGCCGCTTAATTTTTTGCAAGCCTCCACATGTAAATCACAACAGGAGTAGTTTTTTTTTTTTTCCCCTTGTAAGTAAATTTTAAGGGACTCTGGTCCTACAAACCTGTGACATCTCTAGTTCTGACTGCTGTTTATCTGATGTTTTCTAGTTTAAGAAGCGTTGAAGAACACCCCTCAATAGACTGATATTGTCTCCCAAAATTGATAATGGTCCAAATGAATATTTGCATTGCCTAATCGCCCGACCTCCTTCCAGTCCATTGCCACAGACTTTACCCTCTCTTTTCATAATTCTCCATTTACATTCTCGCCCTATCTACTGCTCCGGTTTACATATACTCAACTGTAGATAGCAGTAACATGACTGTAAAAGGTGGCACAAGCCCAGCCTGTGCTGCATGCAAATACCAAAGGAGAAAGTGCACATCGGACTGCATATTTTCCTGCCAATCAACACAACGCTTTCCAAAATGCACATCGGCTTTTTGGGGTGTCCAAAATTGTTAAGATGCTAGAGCAATTAAACACTCATGAAACAAAAAGGAAGAGGCCATCAAATACGAGTCAGGCATGCGTGGAAGATACCCTGTTCATGGCTGTGCTGGGATCATCTGCCAACTTCGTCCACAATTACGACTAGCTTCACTATGTGTATTCACAGCTGGCTGTCCATGGCCAAAAATTTTCCAATAATAGACAATTGTCCTATTCTTCCGAGTGTTCTGCGCAGCCACGGTAAGACTTGGCATCCACAACTGTATTACTGATGCTCCGCTGTTTTCTCAACATCATTCTGATGGCGATGATGCTGTTCGTCATCTCGACTCTACTGATCATTTGACAAAATCTTTACTGGGTTTGGAACCTATTTATATCCCCAGAGACCCTTCTTGTGATATGATGACAAGTAACAATTCAGTGGGAAATCTACCTCAAGTTGTTGCCAATTCAGATCACACGCTTTTGGGATTCAACCAGAGGTGAATGTTTTTTCAGGATTATGAAGACATGCCCTTCGAGGCAATGGTGGACGACAGACGATCATATGTGGAAACTAAGGACGCCCGTTACTCCAGGTACATAAAAATTACACATACAATACTATATGACATAAGTAATACTTCCTAACCACTTGCAATTTCTCCTGCTAAATACTCATTTCCCAAAACTTCAATTGCTGTCCAGATCGGAATCATCATTTAGGGATTTCTCATAACCGGTAGAGCAGGTGGCAGAGAGCAATCCAAGGAACGTTGCCGCAATTGAATTTCAAATGTTTTATCAATGAAAAAGAGCTGTGAATATTTGTAATGCTATAAAATGTCCTTCCATTATTTCTTAATAATTGCACTAATGTCTGCTACTGCAAACTATTGCATCAGAAGTTCCCATCAGGAGTAAAAAATTGCATAGGGAGGCAAAGAGTTCCTTCACTCCACCAAAGACCAAATGCATGGCAAAATCCATCCCTCTGCATAACTAAATAGACCAAATGCATGGCAAAAAATGAAGACTTCCAATGGCTGCACAAAACCATTCTTTCACTAGAACACATTAATACCTAGGAAAATATTTATGAGGTGGCATGTTTACCTAAAACTTTATGTATATATTATGGTTTGTGATGCAAGGAAGTAACCAAAGAAGGATCTGACAGATGATATCTACAGGTAAATGGATTAAGATGTAGTAGCTTACAACAGGTTAAGTAACTCTCCCTTTAAGGATTGACAAGTACAACTGGATGCAAGGATCACGACCTAAGAATTCCCCTCTCACTTAACAGTCTCATGATTCGTGACGCATCATTTAATCTGCCAGCTCTTTCGTATATGCTGGACACAACCAGATGCAACTCTTTCTTGTTAATGTTCAGATTAGAGTCCAGTTTCTGAAACAGGGATTCAACCATTTCAAAATCTTTTCTTCCACCATAAAGACTTAGCATCTGAAAGTGAACTTCATCAGAAAAAAACATTGCTCTTCCTGCATTTCCCTGTATAGAGAATCAGCCTTCTCAAACTCCTGCAACTTGCCATAAGCATTCAGGACCAAAGAGATCATATTAGAATCAGGAAAATATCCAGCTATTCTCATCTTCTCAAACACCTCAATTACATTTGCGTGTCTTCTGTTTCTGGAGAATAGATTTATCATGCAGTCAAAAACTGCTATGTCTTTAATTTCTCCAGCATCAAACGCCTGCCGGAAAGCCCATGTGGCCTCCTCTATTCGTCCAGCTCGAGCAAGAATAGTGATTGCTGTTTCCCTAGGAATATTATCAGGGCATTTCAGCTCATGTAGCAAGCGTTTGGCATGACCAACCAAGCCAGCTCGTTCATATGCAACAATCATTGTCTGGTAAAGAACCTGATCAATCTCAATCCCAGAGCTTCGCAGCTTCTGAAATAGCATTGCCGCTCGATCCAATTTCCCTACCTTGCCCCATATTGATATAATGGTCGAATAACTAATGGCATTAGGCTGGATCCCTCTCCTCTGCATCTCTTGAATAAGATTATTTGCTTTCTCATGCTCCAGTGTCTTCCCATAAATCTTAATCATGGTGTTGTATGTGACAACATTCTGTTCAATGTCCTTCCTCTGCATCAGCCTAAACAAATGTATTGCTTCCCCAAAAAGCTCAGCCTCCCATAGACCTTCAAAAGTGTATTGTAACTAACAACATTCTGTTCAATCCCCAGCTTCCTCATGCTCCAAAACAGCCTGTCTGCCTCCTTGGCCATATCAAGCTGCCCATACACATCAATCATGATGTTGCAAGTTGTAAGATCAAGTGGGCACTTAACCTCATTCATCTCAGAAAATACAGAGATTGCCTCCACAAACTTCTGGTTGTCAACATACATACTCAAAAGCGTAGAATAACTTACGGTGTCAGGAACAACACCAACTGACTTCATCTCGGTAATCAACAACCTTGCTTCGCGGAAAAGCTTAGCTTTTCCAAACACGTTGATCATGGAATTATATGCAACAAGATCAGGGGTAATTCCTGAACTCTTCAATTTTGAAAAAATAGAAATGGCCTTGGAGTAGTCACATAATTTACGCGATAACTCAATCAAATTACTATACAGAACCAGATCACCGGACACCCGATCATTTTCCATCTTCTGAAGCCAGGATAAAGCATCATCAAAAAGACCCTCCTTTCCAAAATGGGTAATGAGAGTGGAGTACGTGTACCTATCGGGTGAGAGAGCTCTCTGACGCATTTCGTCGAACAGCCCGTATGCTAGCTGCCACTGCTTAGCCCGCAGTACGTTACGGAGCACGACGTTGTAGGCAAAGACGGAGGGAGTGTAGAGGGCCTCCTCGTTGATCCAGTCGAGCAAAGCAAGGGAGCGTTGCCAGTCCGACTCACGCGAGAGGAGCGTGACCATGAACCTTATGGACAGGCTTCGGTCTCTGTAGGGTGACATTAAAGCGTACAATTCATGCTCATTTTTAGACTGGCCAATGGATGATAAGAGCTCGTCCATGTTGACACTGCGGTCCAAGTAGGAGCCGTCGTTTTGCTTTCGGTGGTAAGTTTGGCGGGGGAAGTCGGACGAGGACGGCGTCGTTTCATTGGGCAATGATGGTTGTCTCCGCCAGATATCTTTCTTTGATGAAGCAAAGGAAATGGCGTGGAGTTTGAAGGTAGTTCTACGAGTCTCGGGCAGCAGTGGTACATGGACGGTGACGATCGATTGGTTGAAAGGAAAAGATGACGGTGGTGGTGGTGGAATGGACTGATGCACATGCATGGAATTAGCGCTTTGCAGAGGACAAATTTGAGGCGGGAGTTGATTTCAATTGGTACTCGCGTTTTATCGTTTTGGGATTTTTTTTTATTTTTTATTTTTCTCGCCTGTAGAACTCTCTTATTCCTTTCTTTCTTTTCACTTTTTTTCCAACTAAACTTGATCTCATCACATCATAATGCTTAGACCCGGAGAAAGAAAGAAGGGAAGACGTGTACCTCAATAAAGGTAGTGGAAGTTGAACCTTGACATGTTACCTTAAAAAGTGACCCAAACCATTTAAATATATTATTGATTTTGTTGGCAGGGAGAAACCTTTGGGTTTGGTGTCCCGGGTCCACTTTATAGGTGATCATCCAACACACTAATTACGGTATAGAATGAAGTTAAAAAAAAAAAAAAAAGAATTTCTGATATCTCCCACATCAAAAATTTGGGTCCAGTGCTTGCATCAAGCACAGTGAAATACCTGAATTACCCTTACAATGTACTAAGGTATTTGGCATATATGTGGACTTAATCAATTAGACTACTAGTAAATCGAATTAATAAAAATATAACACAATTTAAAACTAAATAAAATTCTAGCTTGCCATGAGAAAAAGGGCGCCTAGGAAAAGGTAGCTAATTCTGGGTGCTCTTTTTCTGACTGATAAAAGGTTAGATTAGATCAAACTTGACCTCTTGTGCTACTAAGAGTGTGAGTATGTGTCAAATGGAGGAAAATTGCTCTCTAATTCTTGTCCACAATATGTTGATTATGAGCATCTCACTCAAGGTGAGAGGAAAGACTTTTCTTTGATATTCAAGTTTGGAATTATTGCTACTTAATTGCATATAACTTTTTTTTTTTTGAAAATAATAGGTCCAATTATGTGTAAAATTGGGAAATATGACATGCTATTATATATATTTATACGCTGTAATCATTTGTTACATAAGTTTTCATAACAGTAGCCATTGTACTCCACGGCAAAACACACTTTTTTATTGTATTGCCTAGTTATTATTTCATTTAAGTATCTACTAAACCCACATCGGGCGTCAATCACGCAATTCACTCCAACTTTGGTAGGCGGCCCATAAATCAACTGCCATGGTGAACATGATGAATGCGAGCCACGGTGCCATCAGATGAGTGGTTGGATAGATACTCATCCACATCCATCCTTCTTTGACTTCCAAGTATTAGTAACATTTAATTTAACAGCTCCTCCACCATCAATAATGTCTATCTAATCTTCATAATTACGCTCAACCGCCGTCAATGTACTACTAAGCATCTCCATCACCTCTCCACCCATCCTCCCTATTTGATCACAAACACTCCCAGTGATAACTTACCATTTACTGACCAATGAATAAAGCATGTTTAATAGGAGATTGGTTGAATGCAACTACGTCGGAGTAGCCTGGAACGTGGTGAAATGAAGGAAATCTTCTATTAAACATGCTTTATTCATTGGTTAGTAGTGTATAGTAAGTTTTCTCTAGCATTTAGTACTGTCGGACAATAAAATTGCTATTAATTAAAGTTTATTAACTCACTAAGTAACACTCGAAGATGAATAGAAAAAATTAAACTACTTACTTCCTAAAATTACCGCTCTCAAAGTCATGCCAACCAGACAAACTTGTGATATGAATAATAAATACTACAGGATTCCCACTTTTTTTTTTTTTTGGTAATAAAAGGGACTATATATTAAAAAAAAAAAACTTAAGTTATAAGTACAAAACGAATGAAGCAAATTCCCTTAAGACCTGTATCTACTAGATTTTTCAAAGCACGAGAGATACAGTACTGTCATCGCATACAAAATTCAAGTAATAGCATACGGGATTCCCTCTTTCAAGTTCCGGTCACGGGTTCATGGAACGAGCCTTCCCTTTTGAAATGTCACAGCCTCCCAAACTGGACTTTGAAAATGGTGGAATTTTTTTTTTTTACCCTAAGCTCCCTTGTTCAATATTCTAGAAGTTGAATAGTTGGTTTTGAAAAGGGGGAAACATTAAAGGCAAAAATAAGTTTCCATTAATTACCCAAAGACTTGCCAACCAACAACAAACAACTGCCGAGAGACTTAAGACTCAAACTAAAACTAAAGCCATCCTATGCTCAGCTCTCCTCATCTACACTCCTCCATATGATAGCGGTACCCGCTTTTAGGGAAAAAGAAAGAAAGAAAGAAAAGAGGAAGCTTAATTCACACTGCATATTTTGCAAGCTCAGCCCAACACAGACAAAACTGCCATTCTTCAATTGCCTCACTCCTCCGTATAGCAATAGCAAGCAATAAAGCTCCATTCTTTCCCGATCACCTGCCTCATTTGCCCCGTCTTTATTTTCTTGGAGAAAAAAAGGATAAAAAATATAAAAGGAAAATCAAAGTCGTCTGTTAGAAATGAAGAAGCTAAAGAGCTATTATCTTCACCTTCGGCATCCACAGACCGTGGAAAGAAAATGGATCTACCCGTTAGCTATAGGCTCTATAGTTTCTCTTTTTCTTCTCTTTCTGACCACCTTAACCTCGCCGGACGGCACCCCTCTTCTCCCTTTGTACCGCTACTACACCACCGCCTCCGCTGCCTCAATTTTCGTCGAATCCAAGCTCCGTCCCCTTCCCATTTCCTCGCTTCCTCCTCCCCCACGTTTCGCCTACCTCATTTCCGGCTCCGCCGGCGACGGCGGCATGCTCAAGCGCACTCTCCAGGCCCTCTACCATCCCAATAATCAGTACGTCGTCCACCTCGATGCCGAGTCCTCGCCGGAGGAGCGCCTCGATTTGCACAAATTCGTCAGGGGTCACCGAATCTTCTCGAAATTCAAGAATGTGAGGATGATTACCCGGGCTAATTTGGTCACCTACCGCGGCCCCACCATGGTGGCCAACACCCTGCATGCCGCCTCCATCTTGTTGAAAGAAGGCGGTGATTGGGATTGGTTCATCAATCTTAGCGCCTCAGACTATCCGCTGGTGACCCAGGATGGTATTTTTCTTTCCTCCTCCTTTCTCGAATTTTACTTTTTTTGAAGCTGGTTTTGGGTTAGTATTGATTGAATTTTATTTGGCTGAATAGATCTACTGCACACATTTTCATATCTGCCGCGGGATCTTAATTTCATTGACCATACAAGTAACATTGGGTGGAAAGAGTGAGTGATTCTGTTCAAGATCTCCTTTACCTGGGGTAATTGTAGTTTGTCATAGGGGGTTGCAAGAATTGATTTTGCGAATCCTAATTATGCAGGTTTCAGAGAGCTAAGCCTGTCATAATTGACCCCGGGCTGTATATGACAAAAAAATCTGATGTCTTCTGGATTACACAGAGAAGAAGTGTGCCGACAGCCTTTAAGCTCTTTACAGGTCTAATTGGGCATTGTTTACTCCTTTAGCTTCTGTTTAAAGATATCTTCTTTGAGGGTTTAAATCATTTTTGGATATATTCTGTACGTGATTATGCTAACCTGCAGGTTGTATGTTTGAGCTAATGGTTAGCATCCCTAGATTACTGGTTAAATTATGTTCCAGTACAAATGACAATTATCAGGATGGATTCTGTGTTGGTCAGTTGGTTTGATTGCTTATATAGGGAGGTGGACACACTAAAAGTCTTTGTGGGAAGATCGTAGTTGGATGCTTTATCATTCTGCTATTCCGTAACTGGATATTCTCATTTTTCTTCATTATGCAACTTCTTGCTTCTTTGTGAAAGGTGTAATTATGGTGACTGAAAGCTGCATATGCAGTACAGCTGATAAGTAATACTTGTGGTCTTTACTGTGTATTTTTTTAATTATTTATTGGTCCTTCCACGTGCAACATTTAGCTCAGATGTCTATCAGGCTTTAGTACGGAAGGGATGAAGTCTTAGAACATCTGGAGAGGCTTACCCATTGAGAAAGCAGGATTAGTTAGATGTGTCAGTTTTGTTCCCTTTATGGGTGCGGAGAGGATTTTCAGAACAAGAGGTGTATGGACTGATGTTGCATGCTTTTCTCTAAATTGCATGTTTTTCAGGCATAGGAATTACTCAGCGCCAGAGTCTTCTGTTTTATGTTTGCCAGTATGTTGAGTCTATTATTTTCTTTGTAGTCATTTGGGTCGTTAATAACGGTAAATTGCATTTCAATTTCAAGTGCCTGATGTGTTACTCCGGTTGAGTGTTCTAAACATGATAATTGGATTGAAAAATAGATTTTGCATTGGGGGTTAAAAAATTCATTAATGGTGATTTGATTTGTTGCATCCCCACCACACCACCCCCCCCCCCAAACAACACAAAAAAAAAAAAAGAGGAAGAGTTAACAAGTTTTTCAAACCTGTTTTTCTTCCATCAGAATCGTTTGTATAAGTTCTATGTTTACATTTGGCACGATATATGTCCTATTTGTCACTGATTTCATATAGACATTTGGCATCCCTATACATGTCCACTTCATAGCCTGTACATCTTTTTTTTTTCTTTTGACTTAGAGCTTCTCCACTTTGTAAAGAGAATAATCTGAATAACCAGCTATCAGCTGCAGAAAAGCATTGTCTTTTTTAATAGCCGCCGAGATATATTTTCTCTCATTAGTACTATGTCTGGAGCTCAAATTTTTGTTGGCAAAATATGTCAGGCATCATAACAAGTGAGCAGAGGAAATTGTTCCGCTGCAATGCGACAATGGAGAATAAACATTGTTGTAAACATGTGTCGTTATATCTCCAAGTTTGCACTATCATTAATTTGGCATTGACCCTCTGAAGGCCATTTGCTTTTCTCAAGCGGTAGTCATTGATTTGTCAGATGGCAAAGTTATAATTCAGGTCTTTTGACATCTTGTAGTCCAATATTATGGACTATTATTAGAGAGAATTTTACTAAATAAAATTTGATAACTTCAAAGCAATGGCATGGGGGAAAACAAAAAGAGGACAAAACTTGGAGAAATATCTATAAGCCTTTCTGGTTAGACTGGAATTTGTATATGAGGCTATGAGTAGTATCATCAAACATGATTATGCCTGTTTCTACTTGAGTGCATTTTACCTGCTCATGGCAATGGAATCAAACTTACAGGATCTGCGTGGATGGCTCTTTCTCGTCCTTTCATAGACTTCTGCATATGGGGATGGGACAACTTGCCACGAACAGTCCTCATGTACTATGCAAACTTCATCTCCTCTCCGGAGGGTTATTTCCACACTGTCATCTGCAATGCTCAGGAATTCCTGAATACAACTGTGAACAATGATCTTCACTTCATTTCGTGGGATAATCCTCCCAAGCAGCATCCACATTACCTGTCGGCGAATGATATGCAACGCATGGTCGATAGCAATGCTCCATTTGCGAGAAAGTTTCACCAAGATGACCCAGTGCTGGACAGGATTGATGCTGAGCTCCTGTTTCGTGGTCAAGGAAGACTAGTTCCTGGTGGATGGTGCATTGGCAGCAGGGAGAATGGTACGGATCCATGCTCTGTTGCTGGTAACACAACAGTGCTCAGGCCAACTGCTGGTGCAAAGAGGCTGGAAAATCTGATCAGCTTTCTTTTATCAAATGAGAATTTCCGACCAAGGCAGTGCAAATAGCCGGATATTGTTTTAGAAGTCCCTTGTTTGCACTCAAGACAATTATACCGACGGGGAAGGCAACACAAGAAGGCTGTTTTGCAGCTAGGGATACGACTACCAGAAGTACGTCGCCTCTAGGCTGCAAGATTGACAGCGATGATTGTATTGGACTGAAAGAAATCGCGGGGTCCTTGTGCCTGGTGAATCTGGGTGACTTCTTGCTTGTCGCCATCATCTCGTTTTTCTGTGCAACCTTCGAGTCTTGGCATTTTCCCGTGTTTGCCAGAGTTGTAAATGGACTTGGTGCTGATGGTGCCAAACTGTTAAAGAGGAGTAAAGGAGTTTTCGTTGTATTGCTTCAAATTTGTTACGGTTAGGTAAAATCATTACAGTAAATGCAGGTGAGCCAAGACAGTAACTGAAAATTGCACGAGGATTGAATCTAGACGTGTAATAACTAACAATACGAGGTTTACTTCATTTCGTTAATCCATTCTTTTTTGTCTAAACTCTTAGCCGGGCCTGTGGGAATCAGGAGAAGGACGTTTTCTTCATTGCTATGGCATCTCGTGTAAGTTTGCCTCCTTTTTTTTTTCGTAGGACAATTTCTTTTGACAAACTGTTGCAACATGCCAGTTTGGCAGACTGATTTCTGGCTTGGCATCGATTTGGAAAAATAAAAAGAAAGGGAAACAAGTAGACAATTCGGGCCATACCACCATCATTGATTGGCGTGGACAGGTCTGCATATCGAATGTCTCCAATGGCGACTTCGATGTCTATTGCATTGATCCTTCTCCAACGTGGACCCTGCCATTCAAATTAGGGTAAAAAAAAAGAGTAGGACTCAGACGCCTAACTTGTGAGGCCCATGTAAATAAACCCCTTTACTATTCTAATGGACTATGGTGGGCTGCGCCGGGATAAATCGGTCAAAGGTTGTATGAGCTGATTGGGAGCGACGGCCGGTGGGCATATGATTGATGGTTAACTACTAGTTTCTACCACCCCAACTTCTTGGGTTAAGCAATTAACAAAATTGATGATAGTTAATTACCCCAATTCTCGCCTCCAGATCTAACTTAGCTGGTATGTAGCTGGTAGGCTTGAATGGACGTGATACACAACCCAAAGACGCCAAATATAGTTAGGCGATCAGGAATTATACCAGAATTTTGGCAAGAATGTTGCAAACGAGTATGGAATCAGTGAAATAAGGGGAGCAGGAAAGAAGTTGTAGGGCATTGTGTCGCAGGAGCAATGGCTCTTGCATATCCATATTACTACTTGCTACTGACTAAGTACATAGAGTACTATCACTATGTTGTAACCACAGCAGGTGCCATTCCTCCTGCGACACGAGTCCCCAACTCCTGCGGGCTTTTGCGCTGCTTCAAATTCAATCCAGCTACTCTCCTCCCTCCCGGTACTTATAGATCCAACTCCCAATGCTGTTGGTCGTTTTTGTTCCCAAAAGAAAACAAAAAATTGTAGAAAAAGTGGTCTTAGTCTCTTTCTTCTCTCGTTCTGTGGAAAGCAACCTTTTAACAATACTTCATTATGACACACACAGACTCTTCAAAATTCCTGTTATTTCCACAAATTGTAGACTTTGTTTCGAAAGAGAACAATTGACTATCTAGAAGGTGCACGGTAGGGAGTCTTCATTCCACAAATTTGAATGAACTTCTGGAATTGCGAATTCCACTTGTATACCGTCCGCTAACCATTATTATTTGTATCATTGCTTGAAAGTCGTTGCTTTTTTGACCCGATTTCACGTTACTTCGGTACAACTTCTTGAGAGTTTCTTGATTTTGAAGTGAAAGTCGTGTTGCTAAAGAAGTCTAATTAATGAAAAGGCGTTGTAATATGCAAACTGCCTTTCTCTTCATTGGAAGAAAAGGAATGAATAAATAAATACGCATGTCACGTCTTCTTGCAGCAAATACGTGGTACGACCTAGGTTTTTTTTTTTTTGGTAAGCACAGCATTAGAATTTGCTTTTCATTTTGCAGCCAATAATTAGGGAATAGCGCCCATTACTCCAAGCTGCTTTATCAATAGTGATTCGGCGTTAACTCCCTTATAAAGGAATGTGAATACACGTCTTTCTATATGAATTTTATTTCTCCTTTTTACTAAATGAATATCATTATTCATCATACGTTGCCGCTAATCGTAAGCACTCCATGCTACAGCGCAAGTCTCCTTTTTTTTCTTTTTTTTTTTATACACTAAATGTCATGGTTCTTCCTTTCCCTCGTGAAGATTGGTTGTACGAAAGATATGTCTATACATCTGCTGCTGCTTCTCAAATATCACAACATTTCGTTTCATTGCGGTTGCCTGCTCATCAAAACAAGCAGACCATAAAAAGCAACATGGTGTTCAATTTTGTTGTATATAACTAGCCAGATGACGTTCGATTTTGTTCCATATAACTAGCCGCCTCGAGTCATTCGGTAATCTTGGAAGAGACTAGCAATTTCTTTAGACTAACTCCTTGGGTGAAGCTGGAAAGCAGGGAGTCAGCTGGAAGGGAATTTCTTGCATATGGCTGCGGTTCTCTGGACCTGGACAGTAAAACCGTCATTGCTACTTCTGAAAAGAAAAAAAATTTGTAAGATTCCATTTTCTCCTGAATACGGTGAGACTGAGCGAAGCGATTGTGAGAGGTTTCAGCTTCTTGAATGCCACCGCGTCGACCAGGTAGTACCTAGGTCAGTCAGCAACTGTTTTTCAGTAACCATTCGAGTTGCACTTTGTTTATGGTAAAAGTAAGAATTACTTCGCTGTCACCTGCACAATCATTGCATGAGACACAGCAGCTGGCCCTTTCTTATTCCAGCAGCCGTGGCGCCATCATATGTCGTCCCACGTCACTTGTTGAGACCGTAATACTATAGCAGATGAAGCTCTGATGCTGTACAGCTGTTATCATTTGATTTCCAAAGCTCATTTTGCCTAAACAGCAGATATTGTCCTTTAGAGCCGGTCATAATTTTGAAAAGTAGTGCACTGGACCCATCAGACTTAACTCTTGCGGGTATTCTTGCTCAACTCCAGCCTCGTTAAAGACTCAAAAAGGGTCGAGAAATATATCATCATCCGTTGGAAAACTCACACTCAAAGGCCAATCTTGTATGTTATGATGCTCAATAGCGGAGCAAGCTTGGAACTTCCAAGGACTTGGGGAAATTATAGGTTGCACAGAAGGGAGAAAACATGAAGAAGTCAAGAAACTGAAGGCTGATTAGTCTGTATAATGAGGAACGGCTTGAGAAAACGTCTGAGGCGGAGCCTAGATCCGATACTGTTAAACTGGGTCTCCAGTGGCTTCGAATCGTTTGTCAAGATGTTTTAGTACTTTTTCAGTTTTCTGCATTTTGGAGATTTAACGTGAATGTCAGCAAGGTTAGAAATGGATATGAACTCTTTTTTTTTTTTTTCAATTAATTCTTTTGGGATTCTTGTGTTATTGCCGTATTAGTCATAAGTTAGATTTTTATTTAATTTTTCCTATGTAATTTTTAAAATCATCTGCAAAGAAATTAAGTTAGATTTTTATTTAGTTCTTTCTATGTAATTTTCTTGAAATCATCTGCAAAGAGGAAAGAGAAAGAGCGGTGAAATGGAAGTGGTGGGCATCAGGACGGGACTCCTTGAGCCACCAAGCGAACTTCCAGGCAAGGCAAGAACGGCCAATACGTGCGCACTGATTGTCGGACAACCGCGCTTGACCGGAAATTTTGATTTTGACATAGACAAATAATAGCGCATAGATGCATGGTAATGGGAGTAAAAGGACGAAGAATTTTTGGGGCTGCAGAATTATGATTGATTCAATACATGAATTCAAGCTATGGCTGGCAGATCCGATGACTAAATCAGATTTTGGAAGCATAGGGGCTATGGGTTCGTGCATGGTAGCATGAGGATCATTAACCTCGTTACCATCCATCCATCCATGTTACTTTTATCAACAGAAATTGAGATAAAATAAATGGCACATACCTTTCTTTCATGCTTGTCTTGATGAGCAATACGTCGCAGTTCCGGGCGTTGCTGCAAGTTCTAGCGGGAGCGATGGAGTTGGAGCGGGAAGACTCAGAAGAGCGGTGGATAAATCCTTCTAGTTCTTACACAGCCAGTTAAAATTATGATGATTACTGGCTCTAAAGGAAAAGCCAAACAAATTCTTGAACTCGCAAAAAAATACCTTTCTTTCGTACTCGTAAATCCGAAACGTGACATGTAAATTGTACGATGTAAATGTAATCATGCATTTCAAGAAAAAAAGGATAAAAACTCAGAATTGGATTGACATAATTAAAGTCTCTTCACGTGCTTACCTCGAAGAATGCATGCATCGATCCCATCCATCTAAAAGACTACATATGAATATGAATATGATCGCGCGCATGAAATCTGAAATGCAGAAGAAGCATGTATTTAACTGGTAAAGACACTGGACATTGCCTATAAATATTCATTCACCTGGAACTGGAACTGGAACTGGAACTGGAAGGAACCATGTAGACAATTAGAAGCGATCGACGAAGCAGGAAGCAAGTGGCTGGGCTGGAGTTTAAAGAAATTGCGGCCTTCTTGTCGCGGTGAATGGCACTTGTGTGAATGTGGCAGAGCCGAGCCCCCAAAGAGCACAAGTGCCATATCTCCTGCGACAAGAAGACTCCCACAGCTTCTTATTCTCTTAATTTGCTGCTAGTGTATTAAGAAAAGAAGACTCCCAAACTCCTCCTTAAGTATGCTTATTACCCTTTGTTCAATTGGATGCCCATTCACATTCAGTCTGCCCACATTTATAGGGTTAAAAAGTTTTTTTTAAAAATGTATATATGATCCCCCGAAAAAGAGTGGGGATCGAAAGCGAAAACCGTCAACGGCATGTTAAGACTGGTAAATTGTCCATACGTAATCGTCTCTCTTTTCCGCGGTGGAATTTGAGTGAGAGCCGAAGGTGAAGGGGATTTGACCGTTTTGGCCATGGAGTCCGCATGCTCAAAGTTGTTCAATGCTGGGCTTGGCGATTCACACCTACAAAATATATATATATATATATATTTTTTACCATACGATGCCGGGACTAGGACGACGTATGACAAAGTGCAATGCATTCAACTTTGTTCTAAACTGTAGGGGTCTAATCTAACCCACGAGACTGAGTTCCTTGAAAGGAAGCTGCTGAAGTGGCGTGCGATTAGCGCAGGACCTTTAAATTTTAATGCACGTGTTCTATATGTGTATGATTTGCCACGTGTGAAAAGATAAAAAATACTCCAATTAGGGAAGAAGCACATGAGCGGGGAGACCAAGCCCGGGTCACGGACAGCAATGACGGGTGAACTTTGTAATTGGCAAGTGGATCATTGTTCACGTCAGAAGCAGTACGTAGAATCTGCGTCTGATCCGAGACCAGCTATAATAGTTGGTTCGAGTTGGAGCTTAACAACTAAAGTGGCGGGTCCGGATTATAATACTAATGTGAATGAATTCAGTTTTGATTTGACTTCCTCCACAGTCGGTCAACCGTTGACCCCAACTCCTGAATCATTCAAGCTTCCGTCTCGAAATTTTGTTCCATTTGAATATGTCAAATCTTGCATATTAGTAGACTAGAAAAATTAGTATGGATTAGCTGTTTTTGAGATGTTGCGGCCCTCTGATCGCAACTAGTCATTGATAATAACCAGGAGCTAGTCATGATCGGAAGCCGAGGAGAAGAGGGACGGGGTTTCTAGAATGGAGGAAGGATGGGAGAGAGGAAAACCAAGAGAAAGAGAGAGATGGTGGTTGTGACAGTAGCGGCAATGGGTAGTGATGTGTGATGGAAGAAGAAGTGGTAAATTTTATTTTATTTTTTTTTGTTTTTGTGAGTTGATTTTGTATGGATTAGTGTTTTTGAAATTATTTTTATTTATATATTATTGTAAAATTATATTTGAAAAATCATATTTGGAATATGTTATCTGTTTTGCCTCATTATGGTGGGATGTTAAGTGTTTGAAAGTTTCTAAAATGTCACTAAAAACTTACTTATTAAAATTTGGTCAAATCTAGGTCGACAAAAAGAATAATTCCAACGGTCTTGATTTTCTAAGATGTAATTGGCACTTGTTCGCTTTTAGAGGTTGAATAGGTACGTTGATCTAGATCGGTAAGATGACTAGCCTCTTGTTTTCCAATTCAAGTCGATGTAACATGGCCTATTCTGTAATTTTCAAAGTATTTTAGAGGAACAATTATTCATAAATAATGCATAGCCATCGTGACCTTAATAAAAAGGACATATTCTCTATATGCAAAAAATTCCTATATATATAGATTAATTTTATATACATTAGGAGTATATACACTTTTATCATTGGATGCATGACATAAATTTTGAATTTCATAATTTGAATTCACAATTTGTATATGTGTCGTGCATTTAGACCCTGTTTGATAACCCAGTTCAACACTTAATTTTAATGAAATAATGGATTCAAACCGTTTGATAACTAAAAATTGAACGTTTGAATTAATAAAGTGACACTGAATTTTCTAAACAAAACTTACTCTAATTGCAAAAGTATAGATTACTTGTTTTAGGAGTGTTGCGGCCCTCTGATTGCAACCCAGTCATCTGATAACAACAAGAAGCTAGTCACGACCGGAATTGGAGGAGAAGAGTGAGAGGGTTTCTAGTATGGAGGAGGAAGGAGAGAGAGAGAGAGATGGTGGCCGTGGTGGTGGTGATAGTGGGTGGTGTTATGTGATGGAAGAAGTAGTGGTAATTTTTTTTTTTTTGGGTATTTGTGAGTTGATTTTGTATGGATTGATGTTTTTGGAATTATTTTTATTTATATATTATTATAATATTATATTTGAAAAATTAGATTTTGAATATGTTATCTGTTTTGCCTCATTATGGTGGGATGTTAAGTGTTTGAAAGTTTCTAAAATATTACTAAAAACTTACTTATTAAAATTTGGTCAAGTCTAGGTCAACAAAAAAGCTGATTCAAAAGGTCTTGATTTTCTAAGATGTAATTGGCACTTGTTCGCTTTTAGAGGTTGAATAGGTACGTTGATCAAGTTCCGTAAGATGAGTAGTCTCTTGTTTTCCAATTCAAGTCGATGTAATGTGCCCTATTCTGTAATTTTCAAAGTATTTTAGAGGAACAATTATTCGTAAATAATGCATAGACATCGTGACCATAATAAGAATGACATATTCTATAGATGCAGAAAATTCAAATATATATACATAGAGAGATTAATTTTATATACATTGACAGTATATACACTTTCATCATTGGATGCATGACACAAATTTTGAATTTCAAATATAATTTGAGTTTAAAATTGAAATTCAAAATTTGTATATGTGTCGTGCATTTAGATTTGTTTGGATTGTAAGTTATTTGGGATATTTCTATTGTAACACTTTTTGTGATGTGATGTATGTGAGATAAAAAGGTAATAGGGAAGATAAAAAGGTGTATTGAAAATTGTAATGATGATGTAACCAAATAAAATTGGAGAAATAATGCTCAATCCAAACAAACCAAGCTTGTTTGATAACCCACTTCAGCATTTAAATTTAATGAATTAATGATTCAAACCGTTTGATAACAAAAAATTGAACATCTAAAGTAATAAAATGGCACTGAATTTTCGAAACAAAATTTAATCTGATCGCAATAATACGGGGTTTGTTTGGATAGGAAATTATTTGAAATAATACTGTAGCACTTTTTATGATATAATATATATTAAATAAAAAGGTGGTTGAAAATTGTGTGTATGATGCAAGCAAAACAAATTTTGAAATTTTTATTTGAAAATCTTGCAATCCAAACAAACTCATGGATTACCTGTTTTTCGAGGTGTTGCGGCCTCTGATCGCAACCCAGTCATCTGATAACAACAAGAAGCTAGTCACAAATGGAAATGGAGGAGAAGAGTGAGAGGGTTTCTAGTATGGAGAGAAAGAGAGATGGTCGCCATCAATGGGTAGTGATGTGTGATGGAAGAAGAAGTGGTTAAATTTTTTTTTTTTTTGTATCTGTGAGTTGATTTTAAATGGATTGGTGTTTTTAAAATTATTTTTATTTATATATTATTGTAAAATTATATTTGAAAAATTAGATTTTGAATATGTTGTCTGTTTTGCCTCATTATGGTGGGATGTTAAGTGTTTGAAAGTTTCTAAAATGTTACTAAAAACTTATTAAAATTTGGTCAAATCCAGGTCGACAAAAAGAATAATTCAAACGGTCTTGATTTTCTAAGATGTAATTGGCACTTGTTTGCTTTTAGAGGTTGAATAGGTACGTTGATCTAGCTCGGTAAGATGACTCGTCTCTTGTTTTCCAATTCAAGTCGATGTAACATGGCCTATTCTGTAATTTTCAAAGTATTTTAGAGGAACAATTATTTGTAAATAATGCATAGACATCGTGACCTTAATAAAAGGGACATATTCTTTGGACGCAGAAAATTCCTATATATTATATATATGGATTAATTATATATATATACACTAACAATATATATACTTTCACCATTGAATGCACAACACATAATCTAAATTTAAATTTCATACATGTGTCATGCATTTAGGTTCTATTTGATAAACTAGTTCAGTCAAAAATTAAACATTTAAATTAATTAAGTGACACTAAATTTTTTAGACAAAATTTACTTTCAAAATTAAGTGATGTATTAGATTAATTTCAATTTTCAAATTTCAGTTTTATCAAACACACACCCTTACTCTATATATATATAACACAACCAATTATCAAAAGAGAGAGGAAAAAAATGGGGAACGAGTTTAATTGAGAGTGGGAAAGTGTGTGGAAGCTTGTTGCTAAAAACCCTTCTCAAATTTATATAGATATAGATTTTAGAGCAACAATTATTTGTAAATAATGCATAGACATCGTGACCTTAATAAAAAGGATATATTCTATAGACGCAAAAAATTCCTATATATATATATATAGATTAATTTTATATACACGGATAGTGTATACATTTTTACCATTGCATGCACAACAACATAATTTGAATTTAAATTTAAAATTCAAATTTTATATATGTGTCATGCATTTAGACTCTCTTTGATAACCTAATTCAATCCAAATTGAACATTTAAATTAATTAAATAATACTGAATTTTCTAGGCAAAACTTACTTCCAAAATTAAATGATCTATTAGATTAGTTTCAATTTTTGGATTTGAATTTTATCAAACACACCCTTGCTCTATATATATAGAACACAACCAATTATCAAAAGAGGAGGAGGAAAAAAATGAGGAACGAGTTTAAATGTACATTCAACGAAGGAAAAAAAAATGGGGAACGAGTTAAATGCATCACATGACAAATACTTCCTCTAACTCATTTTTTTACAGCATCGTCACTCTCTTGAGCTTAATTTACAATTATTACTCATCCTTCCGTGCATTACTTTCTCCATTGAAGTATACCTTTTTTGAATAACAAAACACTGAACTGCTAATTTTTTCACTTCCCGGTGAAGGAATGGACTGCTGTTGTCCAGCTTGGCGAGTTAAAGGTTTTAAAGTTCTGTCCAATAATAAAAAGTTTCAAGACAGCCCAAACCAACAAAAATGAAAATTGTATTCCCTGTATCCAATTTTGCCTCCAGATCCTCAAAAGATGAAGCACCCAGTCATTCTGAATACAGACAGGTTCGGTTCATTTTGTGGGATGTGTTTTAAATACATTACTTCAGTAAACAAATCACATCTAAATTAAATGG